GTCAAATCTGGTGCTCGATTTCGCCAAATCTGGTGCTAGAATTCGTCTAATCTGGTGCTCGAATTCGGCAAATCTGGTGCTCGAATTCGTCAAATCACCCCACCATGACCTTCGACAGTGGTGGACAAGCAAGACAAGCATTCACCATCTTATATCATTTGCAAGGCCCACACACATACACACCTTACAGAAGGGCACTGGGTATGGGGCAGGGGATGGGTGAAGTGAGGTATGATTCTGATCATGGTGAGATCTAAACTTTTCAATCTGGGTCAACCCCAGCAATTCATTGACCAAATGTCCCAAAACCAAGAGCCATTTCCAGCAATTCGCTGGTGCTCGTTTTCATGAACACACTTAATAAAAATCCCTTGTTGAACTGTTACTGGGACTCAGCCCCATCTAATATATATGTCTTTCTTTTGAAGAAGAATCTCATCAAACCGGAAAACTCCATGTGCAACTTGGTTTCGGCCGGCCTTGCGGCTCCGAGAGCTGGACGACGTGATCTGTCTTGGGCGAATGAGTCGTGACTAGTGACTGGAGCTATGGAGCTATGGCGAAAGCTGCGAAAGCAGCTTGGGGTTGGCTTGTATGACGCGGACAAATGCATACAGTACTTGTATACATGCAAGGACTTTGCTTGGCAAAAAGGCACCACGACAGCTCCGATCTTGGGGAATCTCAATTATTGCTGTTGTTGAAGAAGTCTCTCTGCTCAGCTCCTTGAAATTCAGACTTTGTCACTTCACTGCTGTGAACGCTGTTTCGAAGTTGTTGAGCAGCTCGTTCTTTACGTTGTGTGAATTTTGTGGTGTGTGTACCAATGTAGACTCTGTTGGACTCAAGCGATCAAAGCGCATTCCTGTGAAGAAGTCCATTCTGGTGCAATGTTGTCTATTATTCGAATGTCTGAGCCCAGAAGAGGCGCCACCATCAGGATCCGCTGTGAGCTCAATCAACCTACCTCATCCTCGTGCAACTGTTGCTCTGTTGTATTCTTAAACACCTATATAAAGCTTAAAAGCAGACTTGGTCCACTCATCAGCAAGTTTGTTGGAGGGTTCTACCCAAAAGTGCCAGGCGAACTATTCATGGATTCAGTAGGTAAAACTGATCGTCTTTATATAAAAGATTTCCAATATTCAATCAACATCTACTTATATAATTCTCAAGGCTTTATAACTCTCTCTCTCTCTCTGTCTCTCTCTCTCTCTCTCTCTCTGTCTCTCCCACTTCCTACTACTCTCAGCATGAGACGACTTCGGTCAAAGCCAGCGATGCGACAGCGCCTGAAGAAAGTTCAGGGGCCACGAGCCACAAACGATGAGAGTTTGAAGGTCCAACGTCAATAACCCGCATCTGACTCTTTGATTTGCTTCTGAGTTCTACTTTGAAGAACTCTTTTTCTGCTCTAAAAAGAAAGAAATGGTTTTGCTCCTCTACTAACTCCGACTCCGAAAACTGCCCGCCCCCAAGGAAGCGGCGTGCCTCGGCCCGTTCTTCATGCTCAAGCGGAAGCGAGACCTCGGGCCAGCCGGGCGTCCCGGGGGGTATGATCATGGCTGATCAGCCTCTTCTTGAAGGGGACATAAATCCAAAAGCATAGCATATCACGTCCATTCACCTGAGTGACGGTGGTGCCTAGAACGGGCTGGATACATTAGTAACTAGTTTGGCTTTAGGCTAGTCTTTCCAAAGAAAGATATGGCTCAAACACGTTCCCCTTTGATTTCTGGTCTTTTCAGTCCGTTTTGGCCCGGACGAACTGCTGGCCAGCTTGGGCAAGGGGCTCAGATCTGCCTCCTTCGGCCTCGCCCCGGAGAACGTCGATCGCTTCCACCGATCGATTTGGAAGGCGAGATCGCGAACTCGTCGGTCGGGACGAGGAGGTCCGCTTTGGAGTTGCTTTGGTTCGGATCCTTCCGGCAGGAGTGGTTTTTCCAGGGAGACTGACCGGAAAAGCAACAGCAGCAACAGGTCGGCTATGTGTGAAAACCAAGCATTTTTGGGGCCAGCAAGATGAAGAAGTGCCTCCTTGTCACATGAAGGGCTGGAGTTTGAGAGCAGATACTTGAGTGACATCTACATGTTCAATGGTTTTCCACACATGCCACAGAATCCAGAGCATTTCTAACACAAAGTTCTTGCATTGCGAAGGCCTGGCTACATGATTATGGTTATTGTTGCGGTTGTGGCCAGTGGCATAATAGTCACCAACATAAACCCGAACAGCATTACAACATGGATATGCCAGAAAGGTAGGTTCTCAGAAACTCTTCAAAGCACCTCTTTGGACAAATGTCTTTGAAGGAGCAAAAACAGGAAACAAGTGAATTGGAGGTCACTGGGGTCAACCTCACATGAGGAAACAAAGGGACATATGTAAGAGTGAAAACGCAAGGTGTGCGTCGCTGGAGATGCAAAGCGAAAACCCAACAATAAGCCAACGCAGCTAAAGAATCCGGGCGATCTGTGGACCGAGACGATCCAAAGCACAACTAGCTGGTATCTGCATGTCTCGAAGCTGGTGTCTGGGGGGGCACTGTTTGATCTGTTTGCTGCTGGCATGCTTTTGAAAAAGAATATGAACAAAAAGTGCTTTCCTTTTTGCATCAGACTCTTGGCCGATTGCTTTGCCTTCCTTCTTGGCCGATTGCTTTGCCTTCCTTGCTACCTTGACTATCGGCTGCAAACATATCCATCTACTATGATGCTATCCACTGCCCCACTGAGGTTGATGCTTCAGTGGAACGATCTGATGATCGGCCTCCCATCGGAATGGGTGATCCCGTTCATTCCGGAATGAGGACTGGTTCATATCGTCTGTGAAGAGTCTGGAATGACCGAGGCCACAAAACTGGAAGTCTATTGTTGTACAAACTACCTCAACTGGAAGTCTATCGCCTTCAAATCAACTGAAGACTTCGGAAAACATGGTCGATGCCAGTCGATGCCGAGCGTCCCTTTTTCAATTGCCTGTTGGTCGTGCACACAAGGTGCTTGCACCTCATCCCGTTACACCAATTCGACGGGGTCTACCACTACATTTCCAGGCCAACCGACATGCTGTCACATGTGTCTGCCTTGAACTGGCCGATTGGGTAGATAAATGTTGGGAGAATTGACAAACTGCCAAGCCCCATAGAATTTGATCTGGTGAATGTTGGAAGACCCCTTTCTGTTCTGCTTGTTTCACGTGTTTCACACCCTAATCCCCGAGGCAGCGACAAACCTCACCCCCATCCAAACACTACAGTACCACCTCTGGTACATGGAGGGAAGTCTCCCATACCAAAGGACAATTCCAGTATCCTCATAATCACACTCACTCCCGGGGTCCCATTCGTGGCGCCACGCCGGTTCGAAGCCACGCTGCTCCCGCAAGCGCACCACACCCTGAGGCCGGTGGGGACATGTCCGGCGGATCAATCAAATGGAACTTGGACAAAAATCAAACAAGTCGTTCTCACCAATACTAGATCCTTTTCCTGGGTTGCAGTTCGTTTCACACGAGAGCGGCAGCCTTTTCCCCACGTGAGCGGCCGGCTGCCCACGCCTATTGGGGGGGGATCTAGAGTCTTCCTGGCCATTTGATTGCAATTCGTTTTCTTTTTGGAGGGATTGCTGTTGCGAAGCCTCCGAGAAACTTTCGTTTGGGTTCACACCTTCACACCTCCACACAAAATGTGATTTCTCTTTTGAAAACATGGGACCCATGTTTCGACACGGCAATGGCCCACAGGTGACACAGGTTATGACCCCTAGATTTTTCCAACCAAATGTTTTTGTTACGTGCAACAAGAACGTTGTAAGACTTGTCTTTGTTTTACGCGTTCATGTATGACTCACATGTTGCATTTAATCTAAGAACCTGTGAACATACCTTTTGAACATACCCCTAAAATGCTGCTCTTGAGCAATTGTTCAAGGATTTCTGGCGCTTTATCGGCACTTGGAAACGAAAAGGACTGTCTTTGGAAGCCACAGGGCCCGAGGTATCATGAGTAAAATATTCCACCTTAAATCAAGGTGTCGATCCCACGATTCATACGTCAGCATAGTGGTAGTTGTATTTTTCGGCTGCAACATTCCAATCTCAGCTGTGCATTGTGCAACCCCTATGTATGTCATGACTTTCAATTGTTGGTCCAAAAAAAAAAAAAACACAAACTGAAGGAGTCTTGGAGCTTTGTGACTCGAGCGCCCCTGCTTGGCGCAAGCAGGCCAAGCAAGCAGGCGCAGCAGGCGCAGTGTTCAAACCGTGAGATCGACGATATGAAATCGGAGGTGCCATGGGGTGAATGCAGTGATGGTGCCATTCACAAGGATTCCTTGGCGACGTTGTGGATACGACAACCTTGATGAAATCAGCCATGTTTTCCAGGGTGCTACAATGCTACAAAGCACTGCAGTAACAATGTGAAGGCAGCAGGCCAGGAGAGGGAGCGTTCAACAAAGCGCTCATCCTACCCCCACCGGAGACAGTAACAAATAACATATACATACACAAAAGCTCCATAAAGACTCTATCCACAACAGCACTTTTAAGTATATGGCCTTAAAACAAATACAGTAGCTCTATATTATGGTAAAAGTGAAGTGTCTTTTCCTTCTGGTGTGGTGTTCGTTACATGCCCACCCATTCGCCTGACGACCTCTCACTATGGTCTCTCTGGGCAATCCTGGCCAACGCCCACTCAAAGAGCGCGCCGGCGCCGGGGGCGGCGCGGCGGACATCGTTCGCCTGGCGGGCCATGACATCGTTCGCATGGACTTTCCCATGACCCTCCCGTCCCATGTCCAACCAAATGGAAAGTACGCTTATAAAAGAAACATGGACAACAATCTCCTCTACAAGGGCGTTGTTCCATTTTGGGTCCTGCACGGAACATGTTCCGCAGAAACATCTCTACAAGGTGGGTCTGGAGATCTACGGAACATGGCAATGTTGCCATGTGTCCCCACTACATCCCATGGCAATGTGCTTGGCCCCTACTGTTGAAGGTGCAGGAGAGTTGTGCCTACTGTTGAAGGTTCCTCGGGGTCTTGAGGTTCCCTCTTTGCTGAGTTGTGGGCTCTACTTTGAGGGACTAAATATTCTGACCGGGTATATCCAACCATTCATGGCAATGCGGAGCAACCATTTTTTTTGTCCATTTGCTTCTGGCCATCCGAGATGCGGAGCAACCTGCGAAGTGAACGAAAAAGGACAGCATGTTGCTTTGGAGCTTGCCTGTTCCAGTTATCTATATAGAAAAGATTCTACCATAGGCATCTGTGGAGACTTCCAAACACAAACATGGAACTCGATGTACCATATGCTACTTTTGAGGTCCTAGGTGTGTGCCAAGATATGCGGTGTCCAAGCAGCGTGGGAGGGTCGTTCTGTTCATTTTGAGCGCGTTAACAACCCACCTATCGCCTTCAGAAACACGTACGTACAGCAGTCTCATGTTGTTGAGACTGAAGCTTTTGATGCATTTGGGCCATGTTACCGTGCACATGTAAACCCCAAGTTCACAGTTCATTGCCAGAATTTATCGTCTACTACCTCCAAACCCAATTCACCATGTACACTCCCACACGCGAGTAAAACCCGACCCGCTGGGCCGTTCCAAACCAAAAGAAAGGCGTGGTTCATTTTTTTCCGCGACGCATCGCTCGCCTGCATTCCTTGAAGCAGAGCACTGGCACTGCGAGCCGTCTCCAAGGGGATGCTCCTAGCCTTGGCGCGACGAAGACTCTCTCCTTGCTGTGACCACAACGGTTCCCACAAAATGGATCAGTATGCTGTTACAGGGCGGTGGCCGACTCCAAGGTGTTCCTTTCGTTCGGAAAGGGAGGGAAGGACTGTAGATGGTTTCTTCATGGCACAAACAGGGGTGAACAATGGGCAAGTTGGTGAAGGAAACTGGAGAAAAAGCACGAAGCTCAAATGTCTGACAACTTTACCGCATCCTTTGAATCTTCTAGTAGCAAATAGCTTCTAGTAGCTTCTTGTTACTAGTAGTAATGCTCTTAGCTACTAGTAGCGATGCCCTTAGCTACCAGCCTGCGGTGTCGGTGTCGAGCCTGTCCTGCTCGGCGGCTCGACCACCCACCTTCCACCAGCTCCCCAGAGACCCAAGCATCAAAGAGCATCAACTCTGTTCGCAGGGTAGGGGAGCGCAAGACCTTGGCGGTGTGGGTGTTCAACTGTTTTGGGAAGAGCACAAGTGCAACGGAACTATGACCCTGGGAATGTTAGGATGTTGATCTTGCTGGGGTCCATTTCTGTTGAAGGAACGGGTTCTCAAGCACTACTTCAACCAGCTCAAACTGAGAATATCATCTGAGAATATTCAATGTTGTTAGTGTTTATACTCTTGTTGGTGTGTCAAATCGTGCCAGCATGTTGTTTCCATATCAACAGTGATATCCCCAAAGCTTAGATATTTCTTCACACTGACACAGCCTGCATGTACTCCATTACTCGTCTACGGCCTGGTTTGAACTTGTCTCGCTATATGACACTATTGCCAGTTGTTGATCGGGCCTGCAGCAAGCTCCCCCATCGTGCTGCCGGATCAGCACCTCGGGGCTTGCAAGCGGCAGGTGCACGAGGAGGAGTCGATGGTTACATGAACATTTGGGAGGTGCAAAACCTGAAAGAACACACAGGTCTGGAGAAATTTGTTCGTCTCTGGGGTGACACGATTCCAGAACATGGCCCCTTCTAGCCCACTGGGCATGTGTTCCATGTTATGATTTCTTCAATTGTCTTCCAAAAATACTTGTGCTGCCAAGCCGAAACAAACACCAATTTCGCCCAGGCTGCTGAGGTTCGCAGGACACTCTCCACGAATGAGCGCCACGGCATGCAAGACCTTCCTGTGCCACGCGAGCGGCGTGGTATGGTTCGTTGACCAGTGCGAGGTCGGAACATCTTGGAACCGAGGTCGATGTGACATGGTTCGCCCCAAGAAAGACTACAGTGAAAGATGGTGAAAGGCTTTTTGAAAAGGGACGCCTTCCTCTTTTGGAGCTCTCCGTGTGACTGAGTCCACGTGTTGTGTTCATGGAAGTGAAATTGCTTGAGCTTGCATTGACACAACATAGATCGGCCTCAAGGCATTAACCGCAGCTGGTTTCGCCAAACGCATCATGCTTGCAATCAAACTTACCATCCAATCAAGTGCAGGAACAGGGAAACAAAGTCGCCTGGGTGTCCCAAGGAGGTAGTGTTTCGCGCATCTTCAATGCTTGGAATGTGCGTGTGGCGCGTATTCTCTGAGTGCCCAGCTCGATACGAGCATCCTGAGGACAAGACAAGAGCAAAGGCCCCACTTCTTCGCTTTCGCCAACCCCAAGTTCCAAGTAGAACACCTTTTTTCTGGTGCGGTGTGTTGCCGCTATGAGGGTGAAGGCCATTGCTATTATGTGTACCAAGCCACAACTCGCAAATGGAACGGACCCCAGTGCTGGGGCTTCTTCCCTACTGAGCACTCTACTCCCAAGATACCCATCCGCGACTCCCCTTCCAGCTTCTTACCAAAGAAATGGCCCCAAGTGGCACTTCTTTGTCCAAAGTGTCAGCAGGACTTCTGGGCCCTGTCTCTGCTGCTTCTGAGCCCAGCGCCGGTTGCCGCAGGCTGCGCAGGGCGCACAACTCACGCTCCTCCAAATGGCGCCTCAGAGTGCGTGGGGCACTGTCGAGCGAAGATGAGAGGGTGTTTCAGAACAAGAGACCCCAAACAGAACGTCTGGGAGCACAAAACGTTTGCATTGGTTTTGCTCTTGCTCATGTCTTTAGCCCTAACTTCTGCTATATCCGAAGCCTTCCAAAGCCCTACAGGACCCATCTTCTCCTGACTTCCCAGTCTTGGGCTAGGGAAGCCCGGGCCCAACCAGCTTTTGCAGCCCACCGGCTCAGCCCGGCGCAGTGCTTCATCATTGGCCATCCACATCTGTACATCGCCTCCGCTGAGCAATGAACGCCTCGGTGGAGGACAACGAACGCCGATCTTGTGCTTTCGCTTTTTTCGTCCGGTCCTTTTGACTTCATTCATTCTTAGTGAGAATCATCTCCGAGTCGGAGAACCAAAAATGAACTCGTCTCCATCCACCAAAGGGGCAAAAGTCACTCCACCGGCTGAAGCCGCCTGCTCCCCATCTCCGCCCCCTGGGCAACCGCGCAGCGAGCGTGGCTTGTTCATGGGCGTGTCGTAGAGAAAGTGGTTCGGCCCGTACTTCGTAGCAACACGCGGCTCAGGGAGTGAAGGCAAGAAGCTGAAGTCAAAGGTCTGGGACCGCCTCTCCTGACGAGATATGGGCGCCAAATGCATGCTGATCATGCTGAGCCGTCGGTCTGGGCGCATTTGTGCGTAGTTTTGTTTTTTGGTCTCGGAGAACGCCGGTGGGGCGGAGATCTCACCTGGGTCATCCTCGAAGTCAAGGGATTTGAATGGATTTGGGTGAAGATCCTGCAGAGTATGCAAAGCATGTCAAGCTTCTGCAATTCGAAGGTCTTAACAAGACCTCAGAGGACGAATGTATGACTTCTTGCGAGGGGTCCATTGGGTGATTAGGTGTTCTGACTGCTTGTTGACCAAACGCGTTCTGGAAACATGTCTCACGATCCTGGCATGCATTGATTACGTGTCAAACCGTCGACCCCTGTCCTTTCCAACCAGTCATTTTGGCGGGCTTGTATGTGTGCATGCCACAGCCTTCAAGTAGTTATCCCAAGTCTTCGTAGCAGTTCCCCATACTTTGTGAACGATAGACAGCCGTGCACACACTCCACCACTCCCAACACCAGCTGACCCAAAACGCCCTGCTCCTGTCGGGATCTCAACGGTCTTGGCACCTCTCAAGTCCCATGTCGCGCACTCAAGCGGGATGCAAAAAGGAACCCTAACCTAGTCCAACCTAATAGCCTGGGCCTCCAACCTACTGGCGATGGCCTCCAACCTAATAGCAATGGCCTCCGACCTAAAATAGCGATGGCCTCCAAAGGAAAGTTTCTCATGGCTTCTATGAAAACAGAAGTTGTGCCACGCTCGAACTGACAGCTTGCCCCTCCCGGATCACCCAGAAAGAGAGGCTCCCAATCCATTCACTAAGGCAAAAGTGTATGTCATCTTTGGTGGGTAGCTAAATGCGCCGGCCACTCCCATTTAGGGTCCCCCCAGAGACCCCATCTGTGATTGATGTCCTCGACTTTGCAGACCGAAGACTCTGCAATACTTTCAAAGCCATGTCTCCGGCTCGAGGGACTCCCACCCAGCTGCTCGAGGGACTCCCCCCCAGTCATGATGTTGGGCTGTGCAGACTGGCCTCTGAGCTAACGGCCAGCTTCAGGTTTGTCAGGAGATCCTCACGGGGCAAGGAAAACCAAAGGACACCAAATTGCATCATGTGTCTTTGAATGTCTTTGGTAAGCGCGGCCAAACTGATCATATATCTTATCTTATCTCCTGCTGGTACAGTTGCAGTCGCAGGTGCTCCATCACCCTACCCCACTCCCCTGGTGGCGCTGCTCCAACTCGCGACCGTGTTCGGGCGCGACGCCGCGCCGCTGCGCACGCGACACGCCATGCCGCGCCGCGCCGCGCGCGACCTTGCAGCGTTCCACCACAAGGCCATAGAGCTCCAAACCATAGAGTTCCAGCCCCAAGGTGCGACCATGGTCCTCTGATACATATCGGCGCACGTGCGACGGCTTGGATTGGAGGCTTGGACCAGGGTGACATGTCAAGGCACACCATGTCGGCAGAGTCTCTTCAGAATCCATGGGCGGATGCTCAACAGGCATGAATATGTCTGATGCTGGAGAAAGGCAACAAATGAGAAAATACATAAAACATGACCTGCTCGTGTGTTTGTCCACGTTCTTTTCAAAGAACTGTTCTATATGCAAGAAGGACCCACTGCCAAGCCACAGACCCGCCGCTGGAAAACCACACCCTGCCTGCCAGCGCGTCACGAGAAGCAGGAGGCCCTGGAACCGCGAATCCGCTGTTCATCCATGACAGAACACATCAGTCGGTGTCGAACGACCCCACTGCTTCCTCCAATCCTTCTAGCCCAAGCTTGGTTTTCTCATCTTCCCCAACCCTCCAGTAAGACGGCTCTCGCAATGGACTGGCCAGCTTGCTTGCCGTGTTTCCCTTGCTCCGCCCACGGATCTCCTGCACCGAGGAACGTCTTAAGACCCCCAGGATCTTCCTCAGGAACAGCCACCACGCGCGCACGACGCGCGCGGGCGAACCACGGTCGGCGCGGGGGCGTGCCCTGTGTGGATCGGTGGTGGCACCACATCTGGGTCGAGGAGCTCTGGGTTTCGGTTGCTTCACACCCCAAGAAATGCGACCAGGCACAATGCACTGAATGATGAAGGACATCCAATGACGTTTTGACGACATCCAATGGCCTTGGTCCACTGGTGAACCCCTCAAGTTGCCCGCGAATCACGGACATCCCGCCTCAAATATGTCCTTATGAAGAGAACTTTGACCCCTCAAGCTCCATGGCATTTGGTGCACCTCTGGAACTCTGGTCCCGCATCTGGAACTCTGGTCTCATCTTGGAAAGAGTCCAACCTCACGGCCATCTCCAAGTTCTACAGTTCGGAAATCTTCCAAAGCGAAAAAGAAAGCTTTCGTTCGTAACTAGCTTCCTACGAACGGTTGGAGGCCATCGCTTTTCTTCGGTGAAAGCCATCGCAACGTCACGACCCATCCTTCGGAATCGGGACGAAGCATCCGAACCTGCGATTCGCTCCCGCACCCAGCGCTCTTCGGTCCCCGTGCTCTCCGCAGCCTTCATCCAGACCGTCCTCGGCGGACCCGATCCATCGGCGGACGAAGCAGAGCGAGCAGTGGAGGCGAAAATGAAGAAAAGAGTCGCCAGATAAGAACCAAACCCGGTTGGAATCATCTCAGTGGTATTGTCGGGGCGAGGCTTTTAAAATGCAAGGGAAGGCGAGTTGCATGATCCATAGTTACAGCAAAAACCTAGACACAGGTGGAACAGGTGGAATCGTGATGCACCATGGTGGATTCTGTTGGCTGGGCTTGAGGTTTCCGCATACTTCAGACTCGTCCTACAAGAAGTCCTGAGATGTTCTTAATTGAAGCCAAAATCAATGCGAAGAAAAGACGAGTGCCTGAGTGCCTCATCATGAAAAGCATCAAGTCGCTTCATCTCTTGGCTGCATCAAATCGCTTGGTTTGGGCCCTCACATGTCATATATCTCTAAATGGATCTAAATGGCATGAATTACTGTGCCACAATTTATCCATGCCATGTGAAACTTATGCATATAAACATAAGTAAAAATACATTATCATTATTATGTACAGTAGAAAGAGAACGACAACGACTATGGTGATGATAGCGAACGGTTGTAGACAAAGGGAAGAATGCAGCCCAGAACAACTTAGATCCTGACCTCCAGTCCCTCGCGCAGGCCTCGGCATGAAAATAAGGTTGCACGTTTCACCAATATTGCCAAGCCCCACGTGCATGGTCAGAAGAGGGAGTTCCCTCAATAGACATGGAAGATCATGGAAGGGTGTAACATAGCAACCACCTTTAATGTAGAGGATGCGTTCACCTTCCATATCCCTTGCTTTCTGCATCGCTTTGGGCCCAAAACCAAGTGCCTTCGATCACAAAACATGTTCATAGCGCCTAAGATGTGCCTGTTGCCTGTTGCCTTATTTTTGCCTTCTTGGGGGGGCGTCAAAACAAGCTCCAAAGACAGACCTCAGCACACCGCCCACACGAAACACGCGGAAATCCCATCTGTTTCACGACTGAAAATATTCGCCTGACGCTTCGCCCGGAGCAGGTTCCTGGAGAGCACAGGAGAGTTTGGTCACTCGCCTTGGGTTCCACAGAAATCGAAATCATAGACTCAACCAAATACCAGCTTCGATTATGGGAATCTTTGACCCGGATTCTTTGGCAACAGACGTTTGAACCCCTTTTAAAGTGCAGCTCGTGCGAAAGAGGGCGTTCTCTTGCTTCTGAAAAAAGGGACGAGAGACAATTGGAGCTGAAAGCATGAATTGAATGGTCTAAGGCTGGTATGATTGATGGTGCTTTTCCTAGGCCGGTCCCAACCATGAAGTATAACAGTAGTAATGAGTACCCCCCACAGCTCGAGCTCCTGCTAAACCGCAGGTGTCGGGGAAGGGATTGCCCTTCTGAAAACTGGAATGGACATGTGGAAGTCTACTTTCCTTTGCTGATGGGCTTCTATCGTAGTCTGTGGTCTACTCTTGCTCTTTGCCCTGTGCACCATGCTAAGCCCGCCTTGCTAAACAGCTTCGCACCTGTCTGTTCTACTCTGTAGGCGCAATGTCATCTGTATTTTTGCTGTATCAACAAACTTACAATTGCCTGGATTGGATGCTCTTCCCTGCTTGCTCTCGCCTGTTACCACCACCAACCAAAAGAGCAAAAAAAAAGTCATCTGAGAATCCCATGCGCCTCGCATTCCGCAGAAGAACCCCCTTCCCATTTTTAATTTTCACTGCCATAGCCACTTTCGGCGATACCTTTAGTGGCCGCCGTTTGCCCTCAACCTATTGTGATTAAAAAATGCTGCGTGCAAAGGGAAATTGATGAACTTCAAAAAATATACCGGGGGAAGTGACATGTGTCACCGGGTCGTGCTTGGTGAGGAACGAAGAATAGAAGGAACATACCGTACAACTGTACGTTCCTGTGTGCTTTTTCTGCACAAATTAGGGAGGTGCTCATAGTACCCGCTTCCCATGTCATGGCGAGGAACCACCGGCGAGGAATCACCGGCGGGACGGGACGGGACCGGCTCCGCAGCGAGTTACGAAGTCTTCGGCCTCCAAAAGGCGATAGGCATAGGAACAACCTCAAGAAGGCGACAGGTGACAGGAATCTGGGAGGACATGAAGACCCTGTCAGCATTGCTCTGAGCTTCCAACTTGTGCAAACGAAAAGAATTGTGTGTCGAACATCTTCCCCAAGCCCAAGCCTCCAAAAAAGTCATTGGATGTCCGAATCAGATTGCTCATCTATGAAGCTTCAGCGTCCCGAACAATGACCTTGGGCCCATTGGGGAGGGGCAATGACATGCTACTCTGACTCCACCTTTAGAATCGGTCGACGAATTGGAGCATGTCCACCCCCGTTGGGGGGCCCAGCTGGCGGCTTGCTCGAAGCTTGGCCAGGTCCCAGCTTGGCAGGCCTCGCTGTGGCTTGGTTCTACGGCTCTCCTTGAAGGTTGGTTGCATGCGAACTCACCGAAATGTCCCAAAGAGCACGAGCAAAGAGGAGTGCTTACCCAGCAGTATGGCGACGATATCATATCATACACAGAGAAGAAAAGAGCAATCTATAGTATGGTTGTATATGATTGTCAGTTGCACCATGCTCTGAAAAGAAGTCGAACCCTGGAAAACCCTCTCATCTGGCCATAAGAGAAACGCTGATGAACAGTCCATCCTGATCCCGACACCTTAGGAGGAGTCCCCTGCAAAGAGTCCAGCTGACTCTTCGGACCTTTTGAACCCTCAGCCAGACCACACCGTCCGACCCCTCCGCGCGCGTTAGACGCGCTCGCCTCAGTCACCTGCGCCACATCCGCAACGCTGGTGATGGCACAAACATGTGCTTGCCTCGGTTGATGCTTCTACAACAGCATCACAGTATGAAGTCGATTTCGCCTCACCTGCACCACCTGGGTGCTTGTCCCAGAAAGGGTTGGCTAATGGTGGGAGACTCCCTAGAGTGTCCCCCCTCTGACATCCTCTGACCTCGGTCTCTTCGAAGCTCCCAACACACATCCCGAGCGCGGTGCAGTGAGCCGCCACGCACCTGCAGGACAGTGGTGTGGACGAGGAAGCGATGGATGCGACGAGGAAGCCAACGGATGTCAACTCAGACATGGCTGTGTATTTCCATAGGGAGATCCCGCACTGATATCATTGCCCCTGGCTGCGTCGACTGGTCGCTGGTCGACAAAAAGAGGTCGTTGCCTGGGGATGGGGGTGGGAGGGGGTCTCTGTGGCTTTTGGACCACACGAGTTGGCACCGGACCACAGTTGGGTGTCTATTGACCACCCTTGGTGGGTTCTGGGGACAAGGCCGGCTCTCAGGAAAAACATGGTCTAACATGCTTCTCTCTCTCTCTCTCTCTCTGTCTCCTTGAGGCTTCCCCTAAAAGCAAGCAAAAAGCCCCAAAGTCGGTCGGTATGTGAGTCACTCTGCACCTCCCAGATCTGGTCACATCTGGCCACCCTGTCATTTATGTGGAGCCACCGGTGGAGAGGAGGTTCCCGGGTCTCTCGACCCGTTCAAGCACCGGGGGTTAGGGTGCCTCTCGCCGAAGCCCTGAGGTCAAGCTCTGCAGGGCCTCAGAGGGGAGTGCTGACCGGTATAGAATTAGGTCATTCCACCATCCTGTGTAGTCATTGTAGGATGCCAAAAGCAATGGGTCTTAGCGGAAATCTGTCTGCTGGGTATTGTTAGATGGTTCTCAGGTCGAGGAGGGTTCACAAGTCTTCCGGAAAACGACATGCCACGATTTAAAGCCATAAGAAAAGAACCATGGTCAATCTCACATCCTATGCCGCCTCGTGCAAAAAGAAAAGAACTCCAACAAGTACCTGGTCTTTGACCCTCCAACCGAGCTGTGGACCACACTCCAACCACAAGTTCCAAATGAATTTCATGCAGAGACTCCAGAGACTCCACCTCACGCGGCCATCCGACACCACCCGTAGCTCCGGGCTGAACGATCGTCGCTCGTGGGGGCTTCAGCCTCGGTCGAGCGCCGAGGGAGCGTCACCCAGAGGGGAAACAGACGAGCCATGTGGAACACCGATCTATCCAAAAGCTACGAAAACGCGAATGGAACGACTCCAAAAACAGTGAAAGAAGCATGCATGTGGCAAACCTATCACTCCCAGGCATGCATGGGCATACATGGGCATACTATTGTCAAGCTTGGAGGTCTTCTGGCTTGGGAGATCCATCACAGGTGCCCCAGAATCTCACTGATGTCACTGCTGCGCTGCTGGGCCATCTCACAAGGGCAACCCTTTTCTGCTCACAAACTGACAAAGACCACACCCAACTCCCCCACCATCTTTCAACTCAGCTCTGGGCCATCAGCTTTGCCAAAGTGTTCTGAAGACTCCATCTTTAGAAGTCTATCCGTTTGGTGAAGGGCTTTGGTGTAGACTGGCGAAGAAGCTAACACAGCCCATCTCAGGGACGAGAGAATTGATATATCTATCATCGGGGGGGCCTCGCATGGCCTGCGCTCCTTCTCCAAAGTCACGAAGCTACATGCTTAGGCCATTTGTCAAAATGTGTTCAGTGCGAACCCGCGATAAGCGGCTGGGCTCTCGCTTGCTACTACACAGTGTTGTGACTGGGGTCTTGCATTGAGTTCTCGCGATAGATTCAGTTTGCTGATAGTGCATGGATGGTCGGCAATATTCCCACGGTCAACTTGCTTCTGCCCGGAATCGTCAAAGAGGGTGAAATCTGCGGTGGAAGAAACAGTCACAGTTCAACACAATCTGATGTGGCCTCTTATATAAAGGACTTGACATCGTGCACCACCATCACTCTAGCATCGGCTCTCTTGAAGTCCACTCGATCCGGTGTCTTTTTTGGTGGTGCAGGAGTCTTTTCTTTCAGCAATATACCCATCGGTTCCCTAGAGACAACAGCAATAAGCAGTGTGGACTCTCGGAAGCTTTCAACATGGCCACATCCCAACAACTAACAACCCGCAGGCAGCTCCATTTGATCTCGCCGACAGCAATCGACCAAGTCAGTGGATCAAAGGAACACCACAGGATCACCCGAGCGCTATCGCTCGGATCATTGACACGCCCGCGCACTGCCGGGCGAGAAACAATAAACATGGACGTGCCGCTTGCCTTCTCCAGCAAAGAATTGATTTGGCAAGTAACCTTGAGGTTTATCTCTAAGGAACGCTATGCCCATCTGACCAATTTGGCCACATGATGTCACATGTGACCGTGTGGCGAAAGGAAGAAAAGGAAAGCGGGGTTCACCACCCCGGCTTCGGCTTGGTCCGTTTCTCAGGTCCACCGTCCGTTTCTCAGGTGGATGCGCAAGAAAGCGGCAGAGTGAGCATCTCAGGCCTGGGAGAAAGGGAAAATGGTGGAAGTCCATGGTTTTTGATGTCAGTTTGTTCATCGGATCATGAGAATTCTATGAGAAATCAGAATGTTCTGGCAGGACATCTACGGGAGAAAACCTCGTCTTTTTGTTTGAGGCACAAGGGACTTCTTCTGTAGGTGTTCCTGTGAAAAAAAACACGTGAATGATCAGAACGGATCAGAAATGAGAAAAAAAAAACACCGCAAATGCTTCTCTTTTCAGAGTACTTCACTGGATGAGGAGAAACGTCATTGGATGGTCGCGCACCCGCACTCGTGGCTACCAATGTGGCAAGAGAACATCATCTGGGTGTGTAGCTCATTTCTAGGGAGACCGACCCCCGGCAACGCCCTTCTGGAAGGCTCGGGAAATAGATCAGTCTACCCAGCCATGGCCAGGGGGTCTTCCCCCCCATCAAAAAGCTAGGAGCCTTTGCCTTTGAAGGGTCTATCATTTGGTAGGATTGTCGGGTGTTTCCTGAAAGGATATGGCATGGACATGTCCGATCCCCACCACATCCAGCTCATGATCTGCTCGTTCAGAACTGAAGAATACTGCTGAGATCTGCGGTTTGGCCGCTTTTTTCTTCAAACTGCTCGGATCCAACGGCTGGAGAGAACTGCGGTCCCGCTGCGCTGCTTTGCAGCAGTCCCTGCGGCGGTGGAAAGGCGTGTTCTTTGAATCCGGAGAAGGTTCAGTCAGGATGGCCTCCGAACCTACTAGCGATGGCCTCCAACCTACTAGGGGCTACTCATTCCCAGGAATCCCATGTTCAAATGGCTTTGGCTCAAGAATCGGGCTCCATGAGAAAAACCCCTCGCAAGGGAATAAGAGACACCAAAGTTTGCAGATCCATGGGTCTATCTTTTGTGTGGGGCCCTTAGCTGTTGACACCTTTGATATTCACTCACCGGGTGTCACACTCACAACACAATCCCTAACATGCACTTCTGAACCATCTGTCTGGGTTCCTACACTTGAGAACATCCATCTGGAAAGAATGTTGAACTGGAAATTCAAGCAACAACTACTACCCTACCAGGAGGAAGGATTGACCCGTCGAAGGCCTGGGTTTTTGATGCCCCTTCACTGCTGGGACGCTTGTGACGCCTCCGATCAGCCTTGGCTCACCAATATTGGGCGATGGTGCCCAATGTCAAGACAATTGGGTTTTAGAGGCAATTGCTCGTAATCGCAAAATATCAAGATACTTGCAAAACCTTCTTTGGTATGCCTCTTCCAACAAAGATAAACCACCAATCTTTGGTGCGTCAAGTAGCCTTTCCTGAACGGGAACTCCTGCAGCTCAAAGGAACACTGGGCAATCTTAGGATGTGAAAATTACCTCACGGTGAATACACCTCTCTCCTTCCGAACCACAACCAGCTTGGCGCTGTCCCTCCCTAAAAAAGCACTCCCCTTCCTGGGACCGAAAAAATATAAAATAGATCTTTAAAAAAAACACACACCCACCGAGTCGTGGGAGTCCTCCGAGTCGTTGCGAGGCCTTGCGCAGGTGTTGAAGCGTAACCGTTAGACCTTTCGTCTTTAGACGAACTCCTTCCACCTCGCCTGGAGGACATCAGACCTTCTCGGCTTCCATCGCTTCGGAGTCCTCATCCAGGCTGGAGCTTTCACGGCGAAGCTCCTCGCGGGTCCCTGCGGTGTCTTCTTTTTTGCAGTTCGGCGCCGAGGCATGGTGAATTCATTTAGAAACTTCGTGGAGAGTGGAGGACAATGAAACATCTCTCGACTGCAGACCTCTGTTAGACCTCTGCACAGGCCAACCAGAAATGACCCAAGTCGAAGGGTTTACAAAGGCAAGGAGACCTGGCGCCCTGGTGTCACCTTCTTCAAGCATCACTGGTTATGTCCTGTCTTTAGAAAGTCTGCTAGAGCACTTCTGTACCTAAAGAATCGGGAAGTGTAGGCTCTGGACTCATGGATCTCTGAAAGCAAAAAATAATCCACTTCTGATGAGGTTACGAGGTTCAATCAGTAGCTGAGGCTCCTCCTCTACAGGGTGTTCTCTCCCAGGCTCTTCCCCCGGCTAGTCTTCTCCTCCTCACGCCATTCTTTCTTTGGCCGCTCAGGGCAATGGCCTCAGACACAGCATTCGGTGTTTTCCAAGCACAAAGCCTGGAGAGAGGCTAGTTGAGCCTTTTCAACATGTTGAAGCACACATGTCTCTGGACATGACGACATCCTGAGACCTGTTGAGACCGGATTTTGGAGAGCGACGGTTCATGTCGTCTCCAGGTTTTGAGTCTGTGCTGTATCCAAATCTTCATGACCTGGTGGGCATCAACCGTCGCAACCATCATCCAGCTTTGGACGTGCCATGAATGGAACTTTTGGCTATGTTGGGCACGACTGGACAACAAAACGAATGCTTCAAGCGCTTTCAAAAGGACAGCATGCAAGTGCAGTTGGACAGGTCTAATGTGTGATCATTGCAAAACATGGTTCAGAGCTGTGCAAATAGAATGGAACTGTCTCAATGAAGCTGAATTGGGTCTGCAGTGAAATCCTACGTCCTATGTCAACAAAGAAAGGCATAGACCCCGAAAACAGTGGGCTTGCCACGATGTCCTCACATCCAAGTGGCTTTCCACGTAGCTCCATACGGCCCAAATCAACTTTACAAGCGAATCGGACCCCAACACCATCCAAAACCCCAGATCGAAGCGCATCGGTGTAACGCATGTCAGATCCAAACGTGCCTCTACCCGCAGGCGGTGCGGCACAGGATTTCCAAGTCCCTGGCGTGGTCTGTTAGGCTTGCCTGCCAGGGTGCAAAGATGGAACAACCGCACACCCAAAGCGCCTGTATCCTCCTAAAATCAAGCTTCAAGTACCGCGATCGCTGATCCACCGTGATGGGTGGGTCCCCTTGTTGAGGTACTCAACACCTTTGGAGCTTTCAAATCGTTTGAGTGCCCCAACAAGGCATTGAAGAGCGATGCAAGCGACTGCCTGTTGCCAGCTCATCATCCGAGAAGTTCGGCGCAGGAATCTCCAGCCATAGCTCTTGCTGCTCTGCCTGGCCCGCAGGATCAGCTTTCAGGCCCGTAGGACCGTAGGATTGGCCTAGTCTGGGGAGAAGAGGTTTCACCTGTGGCTATCTGTCGTTGTTCCATGTGTTTCTTGTGGTATAATGCTTTTGGCAAGGCTCCACTATGTTGCTTGAATATGAACCTCATGTCGACATCGCCGGCACCCAACTTCCAAAACAGTCCCTCTCTACAACAAGAAGTCAGAAGTGTCAACTGTGTCTAGCAATATCTAGGAATCAAACAAGTGGCTCTGAGCTGTGCATTTCCACAGGGTTCACACAAAGCTTCTTTTTGTACACCTCCAGAAGTGTGTAGTTTTTGTTGATGTGACTTCCACATATTTCCACCGTTCACCACAGCCACTCTCACCAAGCTTCTCTCAAAACGCCGAGGTTCCCGGCCGTGTCGAGGCTCGGTACTCGGGCACCGACTCCTATCGGGCAACGTTGGGAGGTCAATGTGACGTGCCAAAGTGTGACCAAAAGAACGTGACTTCACCATTGAGGAACAAGGGCATTACTACTAGCAAGAAGCTACTAGGGGCTCCTGGCCTTACTACTAACATCTACTAACACTATAGCATTCATAAGCATTCTGCACATGCAAACCCGGTGGAACGGGTTCCACCCACGGCCTGGGTCGCTCGGCGGGCCGCCGCCACGGAGCTGTTCCTTGGTCCGTCAGCAAAACACGGAAGCGTGGTCGATCCAATCCCTGGTTAGGGAGAAAAAGCGGTGTCAAAGAGGTTGTGTAAGAGGTATCGCTAAAGAAGGGCCGGCTATTGTTCAGATGCTTTTGGGGGATCATGGGCCAGCTGAAACGAAATCAACTCATGTGAAACCTGATTCGATGCCACCGGGACCGAACCATGAATTCACTGGCTGAGAGCCATGAGAGCCATATGCTCAGCTGACGGTTCAGAGATGTATGCCGGTATGGGACCTTCAAACCGCAAACAAGGTGACTCATCATCAGACACATGGTGCAATTCTTGCGAAGACTTGGGGATCTTCG